AATACAATTAAGAGTACCTTTTTAATCTTGGACAATTCGGCGATATACGGTATGATTTGTCTTTCATGATAAATGTTAGACTCAACAATCACTTTAGCCGGTTTGATGAAATGGAGCAAACGTATGACTTTGTCAGACAGCTTGAAGGGGTTTCTGCCGATGATGTCGTCAATAAGGTCCTTATTAAAGACCATGGGTCTTAGCAAGGGTACCAGGGAACGTTTCCAGTTACCCGAGACAGCTCGCAGACGCAATTTGTCAGCATATCCCAAACGAGAAAAGATAGCCATTTTAGTCGATAAGTTGAAGCGATCGAAACTATCTTTGTTTACTCTATATTACAAAAATGGTAAATTGTTAGCGCTATAATGATATTAGTGAGCCAATACAGATCAGATAGTTAAAAGTCTTACCTCTTAGCGACCAATTCAACGTTAAGATAACCGCCATGTTTTAAATCAATATCAATGGCGCTGCCATATGGTGTTAAATCTCTTCCATCAAATAGAACATGAGCCGTGAATTTCGTATCATTGAGACACTGAACAATACGATCCATAATAGTAAACATCGGTTGATTTTTGTTTATGCCGAGAGATATCTCGGGTCCTTTGACAACGACACCTATCATGATCATGTCTTCATGAGCGCCAGTGTCGGGTGTTGGTGACATAAGTGCTCGTGACCGACTCTCGTCCGAGTCTGAGTCCGAGTCACCGCTTTCAGAGTTGATGGCCAAAGAAATAGAAGAATAGACACTTTTAAAGTCCATAGTAAAGGCAAAATAAAATGTACAACAGTAGTTAGAATTGTTTTTGACGTGAAGCTACCAAATACAATAGTGCTAGTGGTATGAGTACTGGTTGAACGAGTGAATCATTCCCTTGCTAACCGCCCTAACCAATGAAATCCAGTATACAGGACATCCAATTACTTTTTTATTATTCATTCACGCCCATAAATAAAAGTGAAGTTATGTTAAATGCCATAAAATAAAGAGTTTATTCAATACTAAATTAATACAAAGCAAATTTTAGATATAGAGTGAGTCATAACTATAAGTAGACAAGAATTTGAATATATATGATATAAAAAAGCATAAGTGTAGACCAAACATGCGGCAAAAGTTTAAAGCACACAAATACAAATATAACTAATAGTAGTGTAAACAAACAATATATAAGTTCAAGTTGTTTTGAACTCAAAGACCGATGTTTGCGATGAACTCGAGGTCTGGATACTTGGGATTGAGCCGAACCCATATTTCATCGCCCGACTCTAGTTCCAGTTCGAGAACAGTGTCGCAAGGCTTAAGTTTAATGCCATTGTGTCTGAAAACGGCGTCATATTTGAAGTGATCTATGCGCTGAACGATGTGGTTCATGAAGTGGGCCATGGGTTGGCCGAGGGCCACCTTTACAGACCATTTAAACAAATCCCCGTACACGGTATCACCAAGAACGATGAGTTCCACAAAGTTTTCCAATTGAGTAGCAGGAGTAATTGGACGAGTTTCCATAATTGTTGTCTTGATTCGAATTGTTAATTACAACCTTGGTAGGTAAATGAGACAAAAGACGACACAAAAAAATTTTTTTGCAAACAATTAATACAAATAATGTAAACAATTAACTTACGGCTTCCGTGTGTAATCCCCGAGTATGTGAATAATATAGCAATAGGGGAGTAGAATTAAATAAAGAGCCAAAAAACTGTAGTAAATGAGCAATATTAGCAAATATACTAAGATAATAAAATTCCAAGGCATTCCGCAAAAGGGTTACGAGCATAATGCGGGGCTGATTGAAAAGTACTAGTCAGTGCACGGCTCCACTAGTGTAATGCGCAAAAGTTAAGCGAGTAGCAGCAACCAATAAAAATGATTTGCTGCATTGGGTTGTGTATAGAGCTATTTTATGACTAACTAGCGCTGAACTTGAAGTAATATACAACAAACAACTATAATTGTAAAATTAAAAGTTTATTAAAAACATTAATAATACATAAGCTTACGTAAGAGACAGATACGAATTCAAAAAGTAAATTGAAAAAAATGAACCTATATTATAGTTAAAACACAGAATGAAAACAATTTATTGTAAACATATAGCTACAGAAATGCTGCTATAGTACTAGACAAATTCAATTACACAATTACTTGTGGGTTTCCGATATATTCGTCTCCTACCCATTTGGCTACGAGACGGGCGTGTATTTCGTCGCCGTGATGCATTATTAGTTCGTAGACAGTGTCGCACGGGTTCAATATAGCACCAGCGCAGTAAAAGTATGAATAATAAAATGAATGATCAATTCTTTGGACAATGTGGTTAATGATTGAAGCCATGGTTGAATCATGTGACACAGTAAGCTGCCATCTAAACAATATGTCATATTGAGTCTCGCCAACAATCACAATCTCGGTTGTCTCGCCATCAAGAACAAGTGGTGTAATAGGCCTAGTTACAATCTCCATAGGCTCGTTATTGCTAGTATCATTCTCAGCGGTTGTGCTGTCGGGCTTTTGATAAGTGTTTGACGCCATGACTGAATGCTAGTGAAGAATCAATACACAATTAAGTAATGGTAATAATAGTTAAATGTTAAAAACAAACAATTATATAAACTCTAACAATTACACAGATTATATTAATAGTATTAAGAGACAATACAAGTCACTAAATAATCATAATGATAGACATAATTGAGAAGAAAGTATACTAAAAACTATAAGCAAATGAATCAAAAAGTAAACATAAAACGATAGAGGTATACATTACCTATTAACTGATGAATAGACGATTTTCAATAACAAATAACTCGCTAATTATGATGTATTTCGAACTCTAAGTAAACAAGTAACAAAATAACACATTAAAAGTATAATTTAGGCAACAAATGGTTTACTCAATAGCTATACTATACCGTAAAAAGAGTACTTAATTACTTATAGAGAAATATCCGTTTGAAAACAATAATTACTATATAAAATCACAAGTAAATAACATTAGTTTACAAGTAAATAAAGCGCAATAATACAGAGTAAATACTCACTTGCCTGAGGCGAGGTTTGATGCGGGAATACCGTGCGGACAAGCTGTGAGGACAGCAGCTAAATTGTGGAGAATAAAACAGCTAAAACCTGTTCATTTTCTTGAAATAAAAGCATTTATGCTAAATGCATTAAAGCATATGAAAATACATGTATTTCCATCGCATACAATGTATTTCAATAGGGTTTGCATTGAGTCAATGCATTACAAAACCAGTTTTCAAAAACCACTTTAGTCAATACATTAATACTGTACTAATAGTAATACAGTTAATGCAAAAACTTGTTTTCTCGCTGTCATTGGGTATTACGTCAGTGCGTTTTTGCGCATTGGCGGCCATTTTTACATTCCTTACCAAAACTTGTTTCTCGTAGACTCAATGTGTTTGCAATGTTATAGTAAAAGTTGTTTTGCTCACAAAACTGAACGTGTTTTAAGAGTTTTATTATCCCATGTTATAAGTATAGGGAATTATTTTGGTCAGTAATTGTGCTAAATCGACCTGCAATAGCGGTAAAAGAACCGTCGGTAACTAGTTTTGCTGTGTATATACTTGTGTTCATACTTAAAATTTTTGTCTAATCATAACCATTATTACTGTTCATGCTATCAACGTGTAAAACTACTCTAGAAAGTTTTTGATTGTGTAAATTGTTTACTAAATTGCTTTAATTGACTATTTGCTCGCATAATTGGTATATCAAGTAAGCCTTAACCATTACTTCCCGAACACGAGTTTAATTGTTATGATT